GAAGCACGATAAGTGTTGATAAGTAACTGAAATGTTATAAGAAATCCTAGTCACATTTAATTAATAAATTATGACCTCTACTTGCTTTAATAGCAAATAAACATATTAAAATTGCAACCTTTAATTACCTTCAATCCATAGTCGGTAAAAAGCCCACAATTAAAAAAGATTACTCCTAGGCTTGTCTAGAGATATCCCGTGCCTAAAGTAGAAACTAAATAACAGAAAAAATTGATAATTACAGAAAATAAGCATTGGGAAAAGAAAAATGACGCACATAATACAGGCTTTGTAAATCCAAAAAAAAAAATGGATAGTTTTCAACTAAAAGACTTGTAATCGACTTTTAAATTTTTAGAATTCCCATGAAAAACAAATCCACAAATACCAAAGATTGGCTACTTTGCTCATACTTGTATAGATCTTAGAGCATCACTCCTCCAGAATTAGCATGTATTAGCTCCTATTTCCACGTGAATGTTTGAAGTCTAAATTTTATTACAACGCATGCACACAAATCATCCCACTTTCCATTGGCGTGCCACCAAGACTAAAAAACATATCCAATCAATCGTAAAGGTCACTACTACCTCTAGGTGTTGTGGTGCTTCTGAAATCAACCCAACCGTAGCTGCAACCAATCCTAAAAACATATCCAAAGCCACAGGAAAATGAATAAAGCATTAACAGCACAAAACCACCACAAAGTAGAGATCTCCATACTATTTTAAATATCAAAACAATCTAATTACTTCTCACCTTTCACCTATTGGCCTTTAGTGAATATGTGAACTAATTGGTTAATAAATTTAGGATCATTGTAACATTATCATGATCTATTGTCGGACACCTTCAATTAAATTATGCAAAGGGTCAAACACTTAGGATTTGATTGTAGATTTTCTTTGATACAAATCATTAAACATGTAGTAAGTGTTGATTTTAACGCACAACTTAAAGCTTGTTAATTAGATGGATTTTGGCAATAATGGTGTTGACAACAAATAATAAAAAAAAAGAGTATCATGGAGACATTGTGTTATGTGTATGTTGTTGGGGAGGGGGGGTAGGGGTGGTGGTTCTATGTAGTGTTATTTAAGGTGTAAAACGAATTGAAGCAAACCGGTCTCCTGAGGGCCTAGACGAGACGCGAGAAGCGAAGCGAGCGCTTCATTGAAGCAAAGTGAACAATATAAAAAATAAGGAAATATTTTAGTTTTATACTTTGGTTACTCCTAAATATTCAAGTTTTAACTTTACAAATATAAAATATTTAAATACAATTAAAATAATAAATATGAAAATATTTTAAATAGATAAAATATTAAATATTGAACATTATTGTATTCTAAAAATAATCAATTGACATAATCACGTATTTAAATGTAAAATTAACAAATGTGGGTTTGACTTCCATTGTGATTGATTAATATCACCACTAAACATAGCACTAACAAATTGATTAATCAAATTAATAAAGCATATACTAAATTGATTAACCAAGCAAATTGATTAACAAGAGCATTCACATCAAAACAAAGCATTCAATATTATCTAATCATAATAAGACAGATTGTCATATGATATTGTTACACGAATTAATTAATTTATTTTATCCATATACACATATAACATCATATTTGCTAAGGTTTGGTTGATGTTAAAGGAGGAGGAGGGGGGAGGAGGATGAGGAGGAGGAGGAGGAAGGGGGGAAGAGGAGGAGAAAATAAAAGAATTGCAGTTAGGCGTTCGCTTTTCTCGCTTCTTTGCTTCGTCGCCTAAGCTCGCTTTTTCTTCGCTTTACTTAACCTCGCTTCGTCTTGAATGTTCAAGGCAATCAAGGCTCGCTTCGTTTAGCTTCTCGCCTAGGCTCGCTTTTCACAACACTGGTTCTATGTGTGTGTTTGTGTGTGTTGAGAGACAGAGAGAGAAAGATAAAGGGAGGAGGTCAACGTAGATGGGTCTTTGTGTACGCATCTTTGACATAAATAATCAAATAGGTGTTGTGTATTGATTTTAACACACAAATCAAAGCTCGATACTCATGACTAGGAAGCACAGATACGGACACAGGGATACTATAAAATTTCAAAATATAGGACACAAGTAAGGTTAGGATACAACTAATTAAAATGATATAATATATTTTTATATATATAATAAAATTAATAATAAAATTGAGTAATTAACTAATATTTTATAATTAGACAAATGAACTAATATTAAATTTGATTAGTGGGCTAATATGTTATAGACAGTGGGCTAAACCAAATTGTGTAGTGGGTGACAACTAATAAGGTATGATTGTAATTTAACATAAATTATAAGAAGTCCAAGGGTCATTTGTAAATTATTTTAGCAAATAGGGCAAAGAAAAAAAGAAAAGAAAATAATAGAGGCTGAAAAGTAAATTAAGACAAGCCCTTGTTGAAAAAAATAAAAAGAAAAAAACATCTCTTTATTGCTTTTCAGCAACTAGGGTAAGCCACTGGATGATGAAATTGCAGAGAGCTCGGGTGCGAGAGAGTGAGAGAGAGAGAAAGAGAGCGGTCGAAGAGAGACATGAAGATGACAACATACCTAGTTGAATAGGAGGAGATATGTGGCTATGACTGTGAATGATCGGACACATTGTCTTCTTTCCCTTTTTTTTTTTTCAAATCCATTGTTGTGGCCGTATCCCTTTGTATCACCCCAGTATCCGAGCCGTATCTGTCCATAACAAATACTTTTTCACTGTTCTGGACACTTGTGAAAATATCGGACACTTGTCTGGCCGTGTCCCATGCGTATTCGTGTTGGATACGTGTCCGACACCGCCAAGTTGATCTCGTGAGGAGTGTCCGTGCTACTTAGCTCATGAGTGAGTATTATTTTTTTTGGGGGGGTGCGTTGGGCAGAGGTGGAAGAGATTAGGGGGTTCGCAAAATGGCAGCTAGTGGGGAGGGTTTGCATGTGTGTGTGAAAGAGAGAAGCAAAGAAGAGAGAGAAATACCTTGGAGGGGTGTGGCGGAGGCAATGGCACTGTAGTCCTACTGTGGGCTGTGGTTGTGGTGGTGTGACTGGCACTGGTAGTAAGAGTGAGAGAAAGAGATATGGAGAGTGGGAAGGGAAAAAAAGGAAGAAGTTGGGAGAAGGAAAGAGGTGGCCTTTGAAACCTCGGACAAATGATTGACGCTAGTGAGGTGAGAGAGGATGAGATGGATTTGGGGGGAAAATGTATTGGGGATAAACTTTCAAAGACCTATCTGTTTTATTATATAGATTATCATCCTTATGAATATAATTGTCTTGGAATGATGAAGTTCTACATGGAAATTACTTTCACTTTATGAACACTGAAATCACCCTTGTTAGAAGGCTAATAATGGAAAGAATTTCAGGGTAGTTAATACTTATGATTGTGTGATGGTGGTATTATAAATGATCTTGGACAATGCCTATCAATCATAAACAAAGAACGGAAGGATTGGAACTATAAATCCATTTGCTATGGAGCACTAAAGTGGGGTTTGCCACTTTGGATATAATAATGGCACTTCATAAAATGACATTTGTACTGAAATAATGTTAATTGTGGAGGGGAATTTGGAATGTAAATACATACAATGATGGTGCATTAAATGAAGATATAAGTGACTTTATTAGAGAAAGTTGATATAACTCAAGTTAGATAGGGTATTTTTGGAAAAGCAAAAGGCCAAAAAAAAGTGAGAAGTAATCAAGGATCAGAGTGTCGGCTGAGTTTGATACGACTTGTCACCATTGGACCAATAACTGTAACGATGCACTTATCCAAATTTAGTGAGACTTGGTTGAATAGGTCTTAACTTGGTTAAGATTTGGAGGTATTGATCCATCTCAGACTTTGACTTGGACGAGTTGGACTGAGTCAAACCGATATGGTGAGACTCCTCAACAAAATCTCATAGAAGCCCCAAAAAGCCAAGAAAAAAAAAGAGAAACGGAGGAGGAACCCAAAAAGCCTTAAATCAAAATTTTGAAGCGGTTACAAAAATGAAATGAGTTGAAAGTATTTGCAAGAACCTGTTATACCCAAATCATAAATCTCTTTCTCCTCCTCCTCCTCCTTCTTCTTTCTTCTTCTGTTGTGCACTGGCCTGAGAGCCCAGTTTCTTCTCTTCTATCATTGAAGGTTTTCTCTTTGTCTCTTTGTGATCGCTTTTCTTGGAAGTTTTAAAGTAGAAATTTCTTTTGTAAAATTTTAAACGAAATTCAATTTTTTCCTTCCAATTTTGAGTTTCTAACAATTAATGAATTCGTGATTTGAACTTTAATTTTCAAAACGACTCGAACAAAGTAACTTTGGTTGGGAACACATATTTTATAGTGAAAATTGACGATGATAAATATTTTCGATAGTGCTCTTATATATATTTATTATGTTTTATTTGGGTACATGATATATTTTGGACAAGAGATGCATGAATCTAGTTTTTTTTTTTTATCGGCCAATACCGTACCACGATGCCACATCCGACTTGTATCAGTGCCTTTTGAGTTGATAACCAATACCACAACCTTAAACCATCCAAGTCATCTTTATTGTCGTTAGCAGAGAAAGACATTTATGAATTTATGATTTAAAAAGCAACGCAGTCTTTGATAAAGTTATACTGAAATATGCACTAGTAATTGCTACTTTGTGGGAATTCATTTTTTACTTAAAGGTATATATTGATCAAAAATTGCGGAATTTTGGTATTAATGTGAAGAGTGATGATGATTTTTGATTGAACACATAGCTGCACAATTGAAAGGTGTTGTAGAAATTTGCGACTATCATTTTAATTGGGTATGGTTATGTTTGTAAGAGCCATGCGAATAATGTGAGCGTAGAGCCCTCCATGTCACAGAAGGTATGTTGGGCGCCAACGTCATGTAAAATTGCTATATATCTAATGCACAACATGTCTATGCAGGAGAAAGATTGATTTAACTTGGAAGTTGACTCGCTTTTTGCAATTCTGGCAAAGCCAATGGCCAAGGAGTTGAGACCCGGGATCTTGACGGTGTACCTCTACATTCCCAACATCATTGGTGAGTTTCTAACATCTTTTTAGCTCTATTTGATTGTGGTTTTGGAGAAACAAATGAGTTAACACATGACACAAGTCTACCTCAAATATAGCTGGAGATATTACATGGATGCTAACTTTTAATGATATGATTATTCTGTTTTTGATTTTAGTTTCTTTATTCTGTTTGTCACTTTGTTGGTATCAATATGCTTATTGTGGGTAAATGGCATATGGAAAAATATTATGATACAATAGTTTGTTTGTATTTTCTTACTTTGCAATTGAGTTACTTGGAGATGATATAATAATGTCGGCATCTAGGATACAAAAGTTTCGTCTACATTTGTTTGTTGCTTGTTATTGTTCAATTGGATTCAGCGAATTATAGTGCTAATTTGCAATGAATGATGTTGTTGTTTGCTTATTTTTACTTTATAGACCCTCCTTTGGCTTCATAGTGGGGGAGTGTCATGCACTGAGCCGCCTATTTTAGTGAGTTATTGATATATTAGTGTAGATACCAAAATTTGGATAAATTAGGTTTCAATTTGATGATTAATTGGATCTTTGTGTTGCATTGGTAAGATCATGTAGTTGTTATTTGGTTTTTTATGGGTCTGTGGTTAAAATGAGATTTTGTTGCTGTATTGAATTAATAATACTCAAATGGATTCTCAAGAATTTGCTTGAATAATTGCTTGAGTCCATAATAATTTTTTTTTTCCTGAAAGTATCAAATTTTTTATGCCTTCTAGAATATAGGACATGCAAGAATTCGCACGTGATTCTTTATGTAATGCTATTATGCCAATATGGTCATTGACGTGTATTTCTGGTTTATTTGGCTATGCAGGGTACATAAGAATTCTAATGAATTGCGTTGCCTTTGCCATTTGCTTTTATGACAAAAAACTTTTTTCATTCCTCTATTTTATTAGGTGAGAGTCTCTGTTTTATGACTTTTTTATTGATCACTTTTGTATCTTTAATTGATTGAGTTCGTTGTTTCAGTTTTGTCTGTGATGCTTTGGATGGTTGGTTTGCCCGCAAATTCAATCAAGGTATGAATTTATCGCGATTCCTTCTGATGAACGATATGCTACTTTGGCTCCTAATTTGAATAATAAATTAGATTTTTGCTAGTGATGCAAGTTATAGATTTAGGTTTCTTTATTGGCCTGAGTTATGGCTTAAAGAAGAAGTGTGGAACGAATGAACTCGGTGGATTTGAAACATACCCGCACAATTACATGTGTTGTGTATGAGGCTCAATCTCTAAGTTGCAATAACGATAGAGAGCAGCAAAAAGGGATTGGATCTTAAATTGAAAAGTTGGAATTTATTAGTTATTTTATTATTGTTATATTAGTTTAGAAAATATTTATTTGACTAGGAGTATTAGTGAGAGTTTTAATAGTAAATTATTATAGGATTTTGGTAGGGTTTTAATTTAATTTTACTATAAATATTGATGTATCCCTACTATTTTCAGTAGAGAGAGATTATAAATACGAATTGATTTTTCTCTCAGGAGTTTTGTGTGTTTTTTGACCGATTCCTTGCGAGAATGAGGTAAACCTCCACTTCTCTTTTTCTTCCCTTATTTTTCTATTCTCTAATTTCTTCTTCCCGTCTAGCATAAAGCAAAACTCCGATCCATCTTAGAGCTTCTTGTTGTTTCTCTTAAATTACTCTTCTCATTCCAAACTGATAAAATCTGGATCAGTCTTCACCATAACATCACAGCCGCGCTGCATTAAATCATTGTCTTTTGTTATCTTTGATGCCACGGACCGGTGGAGTGAATGAGCTTGAGTGAGTTTGAACTGAGCCTAAAAAACTTGTTTTCTTAACCGAGTCTAAAAAATTATTCAAGTTTGGCTCGTTTAGAAAACGAGTCAAACTTGAATGAGTCCAGTTTGAGCCGAGCCTGGGCTCGTTTTGTATACGAGCCTAATTTAGAAAATGAGCTAAAGCTTAAAGGAGCAAAAAATGGGCCGAACCCGAGCCGAGTTTGAGTAGTTCGGTTTAATTAACAGCTCTACTGACAGGTTTTTTTGAGGTATACTGTTGATGGAAATAGTCTGCAATCTGCATGAAAAAAAAATCCAAACAGTTTACTGTTTTATCACTGTCCATCGTCACAGGTCGTTGTTTACTGTTCCTGTACAAGGAGTGCTGGGCTTGGGTGCTAGGGTTGAAAGGTTTTGAGCCAGTCATCTTTCAATTTCGCAAGGAAGAAGACCAGTTTTTTGGGTTTTCAAATTTGGATTTGATCTCACCCATATTTCCTTTAAACTGACCCAAAACTGACAAAAATCAGCCCTAAAGTTTCTTTTGAAATTACACAATCACCCTGAACATTTTCAAAAATTTCTGCTCCATCCCCAGCAGCATGACAACATTACAGTTTAACCCCTAAAATATCTGAAATTACACTTTGGCCCTCAAAGTGTATGAAATTATAGTTTGGCCCAATAATTTTCTGCAATTACATATTGACCCCAAAATTTTTAGAGATTTCTCTAAACTCTCTTCTAGTCAAGATGGTCTCCAATGTTGAGTTAAATATCAAAGTACTTGCTTTATTTCAAGAATGTGTTGGTGCACAAGAAGCCTTGAGTGATAGGTTAAATACAATTTGAGCATCCATGGATTCACTAAGAGAACTTTTGTTGCTGACTGCAGCTCGTGAAAGTAAGACAAGTGAAGATTTCAGTTTTTTCTCTTCAACCCTTAATCCACAAGTGGTTGAACACAGCCCTTTAGTTCCACCACATGCTCCACCATCACAAGATTCAGTTTAATTGAATGATTAACTGAAATTATGCACTCTTGATGAGCCTAAAAGTTAAGTTCCCCTTCTCATCATACATCAATTGTTTGTATTGTTTTTGATAAATCGATTTTAAAGGGTGATCCTGCCAATAAAGTTAAACAAATTTCAAAGGGTGTCACTGCAGATGGAGTTACTACTTTGTCTCCACCGATTTATATGCTTCCTTCAATTATACCAGTATATGTGGACAAGACTGCCAAGGATGCAACACATTAAGTGATTATTTTCTATCGTGGGGATCTACAGTACTATTTCCTTGGAACGCAAGCTTCTTCTATTTCTTTGGAGCGCAAGCTTCTTCAGATCTCTTGGAGTCCTTTTGCCTTTATGACTCTTCATTGAAGAGTTTTTTTAACTGGAGAGAATTGATAAAGATCGAAAAGGGATTGAATAAATTTTAAATTGAAGAATAGGAATTTATTAGTTATTTTAGTATTATTATATTAGTTAGGGAATATTTGTTTGACTAAGAGTACTGGTGAGAGTTTTAATAGTGACTTATTATAGAGTTTTAGTTGGAGTTTAATTTAAGAGTTTGATTATGAAACTATTTTAAAATTTTAGTAGGAAATAATTTTTGTTTTAGTAGAAGATTTAGCCTATAAATATTGGTGTATCCCTACTATTTTCAATAGAGAGAGATTATGATTATGAGTGGATTTTTCTGTGCGGAGATTTGTGTGTTTCTTGTCCAATTTCTTGCAAGGATGAGGTAGATCTCCATTTCTATTTTTTTCTATTCTCTAACTTCTTCTTGTCTAGCATCAAATAATTTATGCATCTCATTTTTTGTCCCTAAGCCTTTGCTTGGAGTGCTCTTATGTCTCTCTCTCCCAATGTGTTGTGTACATTGATGGTAGAAGCAAAATTTTGATATCTTTAGGTTTTTTGAAAGAGAATTCAAAATGTTGCTGAAAACAATTGTTACCTGAATTACACCAATGATGCAGAAATGTGCTAGAGATGACATCTACTATTTGTCTTATGGTGAGCTAATTAATATTAAGAAAGCTAGGTTGATGAGAGTTGAAGGGTTTTTACTTGAAAGGCTTTGGGAATTGGCTCGGTTTGAATTCTTGGGGGATGAATTGCCTTTTGTTATCCATATTCCCTCCTTAATATCGTTTGTCTAGAACTCCTAATTCAACTATTGCTTGTATGATTTCATCTTCTTCAACCCCATTTTGCTGAAACTTTGATTTATTTAGGATTTGAATGATGTAGAAGTAGTTGACATGTCTTCTCCGTTGAGTATTCTTGATAATCATGCGTTGAATCGTTCTTCTTTGGATCAATGAATTTGGACCATTTCTTCATCTGGGGATTTCTGTTGTTATATTTTTTTTGAATCCCTGATTGATAAGCGTAGTTTCTAATTCTCCAAACTTCAAATATGATATGGAAAGACCCCATTAAAGGGTCAACTATTTGTGTGGTTTACTTTCACATAAGACACTTAATTCTAAAGATTTGCTCCAAAAATCACTTTCTCTACCCACGATGGTGCAACATTTGTTAGAATTGGGGGGAAGGTATGCACCATTTATTGTTACATTGTTTCCTTGTACTAAATTGTGGAGTGGGTTTTTGGCTACAATTGAGTTCCCTTGGGTGACTCCTAGAGATTATTGATCTTTGTCATTGATTTTGAGGGTTTTGGTACAACACAACTAAGATTTTATGGAGATGTGCAGATTTGGCATTTGTTTGGATAATATTGTTGGAAAGAAATAAAAGGATTTTTGATGAGGGGCTGACTCCTTTGGTAGATTTGTGGGATGAAATTTCAGTGATGACATATCTTTGGTCTTGTGCGACAAAAGATTCCGAAGGAATTCTGCTCTTTTTGATTAAGGATCATTGGGTTTAAGTGGGTGAAGAACTTTGATGCCTGGACTTCTAAATTTCGTTTTCTTCATTTTTTGCTTTTAGCTTCTCAGTTTTATTTTCAGTTTGTACATGAACCCTTCAGAATCTACACAATCTCCAAACATTCCAGGCATCCCTGAGACATTGCCGTTGATATAAAAAAACCCTGACCCAAGTAGTCCTCACGCGAGCTCAGCTAGGCAGATTAGACTTAAAGAAAATGACAAAAATACCCCGCGACAAGATATTTTTGATCAAATCACAAAAATACACATTTATTTCTCTGTGCAGATTTATACATAGTTTGCATCTGGTTTGGGTGTTAATTGTCCAATGGTGGGGAAATGTATAGGGCTACATAATTAGGGTTTATGAGGGAAAACGTAAAGAAACAAGTGTTGGTATTTTGTTCTAGAGGTATATGTTGATATCTATAAGCTGTTCAGTTTCTCTACTTGGCGACTAGCACTCCAAAATAGGTTACCTTTGAAGTTTTTTTTCATCCAGACAAATTTAAAATGATATCTTGGAATTTTTTTCTTCTGGGATCCCTTGGTGAACTCTGAAAGTTTGATACCGTAGACCATTGTAGGCCTACTGGAACTCGTATGGATACCAATTGACATAAGTAGGCTCAGACCCAAGTATGACCTCTAGAAATTATCCAATATCCTTGATTCTTAAAATATGTGAAAACAAATAGCCAAAGCCATTATAGTACAGTATTGGCATGACAGCTTCAGGAGTTCAAAACTGTTAATGCTAAACTACATTGGGCACATATATGACTCAAATCAGATCAAGACTTGATCAGACAGGGTATCTGGTGATTCTTGTATAAATTCTTTGTCTGCCTTTTTTGATAAGCATGTCTTACATAATGACATTACAATATCATGTTAAATTGTATGCGCATATATGATTCAGTACAGTGATTTTAGGATAGAGAGTATTGGTTAAACATTTTTGATTCATCAATTTCTGTTTCTTGGTTCAGTTTCAACCTTTGGAGCTGTTCTGGACATGGTGACAGATAGGTGATTATCTATTAAACTTGCATTCCCTTATTTTTCCTCCCATTTTTTGTGAGTCCTTATTGTATTAATCCACATGGATTCTGAATTCTTCATTTATTCTTACTTCGCTATGTCTCCCAGGATTAGTACTGCTTGTCTACTGGTAATTCTCTCCCAAGTTTATAGGTAGAATTTGCTTTGAGTTATTATGGCAGTAATTTCTCAGGAATTTTTAAGCCCTGTAAAATAATTTTTTCTGCCTTATGTTTGCAGGCCTGGCTTGGTTTTCTTGTCATTGCTGGCTTTGGATATTGCCAGCCACTGGTTGCAAATGTATAGGTATTTAACTCACCAAAAATATATCTTTCTATGAAATATTAAACCTTAATATTCTTGATTAGAAAAGCAGGTGGAATCTTCACTTGTAGTTTCTGAGTTCGGCTTCATCTAGACTTCCTATGGATCTTTAATTTCTCAAATATTTTCACCACTTTTTTATCGCAGTACTTTCTTGGTAGGCAAAGCTAGTCATAAAGATGTAAAAGACAGCACTAGTTGGCTATTCAAGGCATACTATGGAAACCGAATATTTATGGGCTATTGTTGTGTAGCTTGCGAGGTGAATGTCTCTTTGGTGTTCTTTCCTAGTTTGGAGGTTTAATTAACATGAATTCTTTACTCATTGGAGTTTTGAGTGTTTTGGTAATGCAGGTTCTGTACATAACTCTATTTCTTCTTGCGAAGAACCAGGCTGAAAATATGACTGATGTAAGCTTTTCATTTTGTCCATAATGCTTATTTTTCTCACTAAATGTTGAGAGGATTTATTGATATTATTTTGATCTATCTATACTTTGCTTTTTAGGTTTTAGTGAATGCTGCAAAACAAAGCTTAGTTCATTTTACTCTAGTTGCTTTACTTCTGTTTGGGTGGGCAATCAAGCAAACTATCAATGTTATCCAGGTAACAAGCAAGGCCTTTTTACACCATTCTACATAATGAATTTTTTCATTCATCAAGTTTCTCGAACAATAAAATCTTCCACTTGCTGTACTGAACATCCTATAGCTCTCAATTTGAACATCCTTTCCTCCCTTCTACTCATAACACTTCTTCTACTCATATGTAATTCACATGTATATGCTGTTCGTGCTTACTTTAGTTAAAAAGAGCAGCTCAGTGCACGAGACTCCTTTCACTATGGGTTTTGTGCAGGGTCAGTTGTATGAACCTACCCCTGCATGTCAAGAGATTGAGGTTGTTTCCGTGATGCTTACTCTAGCTAATTTGCAAAAATTGTTTATGTTGAAATGTTTTGGAACTATTTGAAGCAGTGTTATCAGAATCGGATCGGACATAAAACCGACAGAGGGACTGAGTCAATGGTTCACTGCTTCAACCGTTGGGCCAACTGGTCGAATCGGTTATCTAATAAAAAAATAAAAAATTTATAAAACATAATAACTTAGTTAAAAAAATATGATGCATGTCCATAATGCATATAATTTACCATAAAATTAACACCATTGACACATAATCTTATCAAAAAAAAAAAAAAAAAAAGAGTATAGTAATAGAAAGAGTAACAAAAATAGAAGACATTAATTATTTCAGTTGTATAATTGAGGAAGAGACAAGACAAGGGGTGGGCTAGTATCAAAGCCTTTTTGCCTTCTCGAGACAAATGTTCTTTATTTTATTGTTTTTTTGCTTTGAATATTTTATTACTTTATTGAATTTCAAATCAATGACAAAAAAAAAATATGCAAGTTGTATAAGGCTATAAGTTGACTCTGTGTGTGTCTGTTCCATAGACAGTAGGGGGTGTGTGTGTGTGAGAGAGAGAAGAGATGAGACCACGCACAACGACGACCGACTAAGCTCTGGAAAAAAGCTTGTTGTGTGTTTGAGTGGCTGAACAAAGGCAATCGATTGAGCTATGAAGGACGGAAAAGGGAAGGCAATTGCCTATTCGAGTGGCTAGTGGATATTACAGAGGAGAAGACAAGACTTAGGGTAAAATTGTCCAAAAGAAGGATTTTTGTTTTAATCATTTAGAATTCGAACCGTCCTTTTTGACAAAATCGTCTTTTTTGACAAAATCGTCCAGTTCACCAGTTTTCCGGTTTAAAGACAGTTTTGTTGCACAACTGATTTAATTAGCAACCTGGACCATTTACCAGTTGGACCAACCGGTTCGGTCCGGTTCTTATAACCCTGATTTGAAGGTCACCATTTATTTTGTACTTGATGGAAGAGGGAGAGAGGTGGGTGTGGATTGTAGGAGTCACCAAGGTTAGTAGGGAAACCTCAATAGGTTTTTTGAAGAGAGTATCTTCCTACTTACAGGCTTATCTTTAGATGTTTGAAGTAATACGGACTTAAAATTGGATAATGAGTTTTTTTTTTTTTGATGAGAAACCATTATTATATTCATAATAATACAAAAAACGTACATCAAAAGAAGAGAAGTTGGACAAGGAATTCAACCCTCAAATGACAAAAAAAAAAAAATGGTAACCCAAACAAAAATCCAAGCACAACTCATGTACGGTGTCCAAAAAAATAAATCACAGACAACACTCCAACTTGCCAAAATATGAAAAAGTGGAATTTCTTCAAAGTCTTTAATGATCGAGGCCCAAAACGAAGCCAAGAAAAAAATACGGTTCAACAGACCATTAGCTCTCTCCAACCAAATAACCCAAATCGTAGCAAGAATCACACAATTCCAAAGTGTAATTCCTTTAGGTTGATATCTAAATCCTTTAAAATCCTCCACAAACCGAGTAGAGAAAGACCAAGGAGTAACCCGACTCAAACCTACCAATGAAAATAACTTGTTCCACAAATATAAAGCAATAGGGCAATGGAAGAACAAACGATTAGTACTTTTACTATCACTGCAGCATACCATTGCAGCCACTAAAGTGATTGCATCCCTCGGCTCTCATATCTAATCTTCTCAATCTATCGGCCACTAAAGTGAAAAGAAAATGTGACATATGTATGATCACCTTGTCTAAGCCCCCTAGAAGCTTTAAATCTCCCTCTTGGTTTCTCATTAAGCATAACTGAAAATTTCGTAGATTGCAAGCACCCACTAGTCCATTTTCTCCACTTACCTCCAAAACCTTTCATCTCCAACCCAGTCCAAAAAATGCCACTCCACATGATTATAATAAGCCTTCTCAAAATCAATTTTGAAAACAGTTCCCTCTTTTTCTCTAGATCTATAATCCTCAACCATATCATTAGCCACAAAAGTAACATCCAATATCTTTCTTCTCTAACAAAAACACCCTGCTTGATTGTAACTGAATCATCAAGAATCTCCCTCACTCTCATTGACAACCCTTTTGCAATAATCTTGTTAAGACTAGATACCAAACTAATTGACATGAAGTGCTTCATTATCAATTTTTTTTTCTTTTTAGTACTTGCATGAACCAGACTAGTATGAAACAATTTTGAGGACACATTCATCAAATCCTCATGACTTCTTGACAATCTTGGTAAAGAGCCAAAGTGAAACCATTTGTCCCTGGTGCCATATCCCTATAATACTCAAAAATAGTCCTTCTAACTTCCTCCTTTTCAAATTATCTTTGCAACCAACCTGCTTTCATACTATCAACATGACTCAAATCCAAACCTTCCAATCTTGGCCTTGGATGATTATGAGATGAATCTAAATTCATAGAGAACTCAATAATCTCCTCAATTCTTCCTTCCTCTTCACTTATTTTACCACTATCTAACTCTAACGTGTCAATGAATTTCTTTTTCCTTCGTTCATTTGCCGCTCTCTGAAATAATTTTGAGTTGCAATCACCTTCTTTTAGCCATTTCGCTGTTGCCTTTTGTCTCCAACTTATTTCCTCCTTAAAAATAACCACCTCAAATTTATTCCTTAATCCCATATTTCAATTCTCATGTCATCATCCAATGCCCCATTCTCTTCCAACTTAGCCATTACTTCCAATCTTTTCATAATTAGGAACCCTAATATCCATCTTGACCTTCTGCTTTACAAAATCGTACTTTTTCATAATCTTCCCAAACATGAAAATTTTCTTCTTCCCACCATTGCTTAAGTTGGCCTCTAAATGTATGATGCTCTAACCACATATTCTCAAACTTGAAAGGACATGGACCCCATTTCACAGAAGATGTATTGAGGACAATTAGACAATGATCCAAAAACACCCTTGATACTCCCATCAAATTCTCCTCCCATTCAATTGAAAACCAAAATTTGTCCAATCTATTACTTTCTGGTTCTCACTAAGGTTGGACCAAGGGAAAGATCTAAGAAGGATCTTTCAAATGAGTTTCCCTAATGAAAAGATCAAAGTCCCTCATACTCCTCGTCATCCTTGCCTCACCCAATTTCTTCGACGGATATCTTATCACATTAAAATCTCCCCCCGCACTATCTAGGACTACACAACCCATACAATCTCGCCAATTCTTCCCACATTCGTTTTCTCTCACTAGGGCAATCAGGTCCATACACACCAGTTAACACTATTACACACCATATCTAACTGTCAATTTAACTTACTGAGTGAATTCTCCTTCAATTGACTCCTCCATATAAGTAGTTCTCTCATGCCACATAACAATTATAGCTCCTAAATTTCCAACAGAAGGCTTTTTACCCAATTAATAAATCGAGAACCCCATACACTCTTCACAAGTCTTCTTTCCACACACCCCTTTGTTTCTTGCAAAATGACTACATCAGGATTCTCCTATAAAATCATCTCTAATGGAACTCCTCTTTTTTTTTTTTGACCCCCATGCCCCTAATATTCCCGCTAATTATCGTCAATTGTAAAAATCTTACCCCCAGTGGCAAAGTTACAATTGCCCTGCCCCCACAAAAAAAAACTCAATTCATTTTAATTTGCTAAATGATTATATATATTAATTATAGGTTTACTCTTAATTAAGTGAACGAAAATAATATTTAGTTCATTGAATTCCTCAAAATGTGTTGAAGAAATCATCTAAAAATCCTTCGTTCTCTCTCTTTTTTTCCCCTCTTGGTCTCACACATTGCTAATTTATTTTTGGGCTTTTTGCACTTTGGAACCTGAAAGATTTCAAAATTCCCACTTTGTAGCTTCAAATTAAATTTCTCACATTGCATCTTCAATGTATCAAAAGTATTACAATATGACCCTTTTTTTAGTTTTTGTTATTTTTTTTATCAAAAGCCAACCCATTGACATTGGCGGAAAGTTAACAGAAGTGTCACATTGCACAACACTTTTGATACATTGATGGTGCAATGTTAGAAATTTAATTTTTGATGGTGCAAAGTGAAAATCTTGAAATCTTTTAGGGTGCAAAGTGCAATTCGTCATTAATTTTTTGTAATATGAAAATCAAGTCGGTGACAGTTGAAAATATAAGGTGATTCTATTATGACCGATGTGATAATAATACAAGTCGTAAAAATATCTTTTTACGGGCGAGGTAAGACTGCATATGTTTGATCGTTACTAGATTTTGTAGTAGCGAGAATCCATGTTCTAGGTCACCTCTTTTTATTCATTATTAGTTCAAAATTTTTAAGCTTACTATTGTTAAAAGTGATATTTGGGACATAATTTGAGAATTTAATGGATTGTTATCATTGAATCAACATCGGGTCTCAACATTGAATGCAGTCTATTTTTCCAAATCAACGGTACTAATGTAATAAGTCTCTAGATTAAGTCACGAATTAAGTACATGCGTATAATTATTGCTGTTAAACTCTTTGCCCCCACAACGCCAAACTTCTGGCTCTGCCTCAGCCTACACCGTCTTCATCCCTTTTACAACCTCTTCCCTCATAATTAATTCCTGAATACAAATTTTTGAGCTCCTGGGACCCTTTTTACTTTCTTAACAGATCGCCCCACATCTCTCTTCTTACTCCTCTTTTTCTAATGAACCAAATACTGGTT